GAAAGAAACTAATATTGACGCTACAGACAGAAGTCCAATGTTATTTTAGTTGACAGTACTTCTGTGAGGCTGAAAAGGAGTAAGGCTGTGTTTTGTTTCCTAGGTATCTCCTCTGTGTACCAGTCTCCCTTGGTACGTTCTTATTCGCTATCTCATGTGATCTCTTTGCTATTGAAACATCCTCTGAATCCATACATTCGAGGGAATATAAACATTACTCCCTTCAGCAAATTTCATTTATATGTGCAAGAAAGATTCCAACTACGAACTTAAAGCTTTTGCATTACTGTTGGTGGGAGTTTTCAGAGGCACTAGCTGTATCAAAAAAAAACAGGTCTTCACCGGGTGATTAGATTTGTCTTCTTAATGGCAAAAAAATAAAACTCCCAATTTTGATGTCAGATGAAGGATAGATTGCTGTCCAAGTTTGTTGGTTTGTCTGAACTAGAATCAACTTCAATGTGTTAATGAGAGATAATTCCTGAGTAAGAATGAATAAATTTTGTTTAGTCAGTGCCTTCCTCACCAGGGTATGTTTTATAGCCAAACAGAGTGCCTTCAGCTTGCTTTAAAAACAAAGTCCTAGTCAAGCCTGAGCTAAAGATTTCTCGAATCAGTGTGTTGTTTGGAGCTAAGTGACATTTCACCTCTATTTTGACCACTGATTAATAGAGTGTGTTTATGCCCCTTCCCTCTTGTTTGTTGGATGAAAACTCTGACCTTCTGAACAAGATGGGAAAACAGTTCCATCAGGGACTGAGTAGTACTGTAGAAACTAAAATGTGTGTGTGAGAGAGAGAGAGTGTGTGTGAGTGGGAGAAAATGCTCTCTTCTGTTTCCTGCCGAGTTGATGGTGAGGCTGGAGGAGACCCAATTCCTCCAAGGGAGTTTATTTAAACTGTGATACTAAAGTTATTCTGAAAAGACAAATGGCCCCTCTGACAGGACTCAGCTGCTTTATTGACTGCTGCTACAAATTTTGCTCTTGATTTAAACCCTCAGTCCAAAGAGTACCTTGAGAGAAGAACCTGGGCTTGGGGTGCCGTTAGAAATTGGGAAAAAATTTAGGGTGAAGGGAACTGACATCAATGTGAAGTGTGTCTTCTCCAAATGGAATAAGCACTTTATTTTAGTGGTGCCTCATGGTTAAGATTACGGCATCAGAATGGATTTTGCAGTACGGAGATGGCAGAATGAGTCACTTGGTCTGAGACACAGCTAACAGGTATATGGGCCTTCAGTCAGTGTCTTTGTTACTCATATTCACACCCCATTTCAGGAAGCTGTGCTCTTGCCCATACCACCATGCCCTCAGCAGTCTTGGCCCATATCCCTGAAGGAGGCTCAAAAATTGCCTGCATAACTGTCGTGGCAGCAGCCACGCTCAGGACTGTGCTACCACCTAAAGACTATGGATGGGGATATGCCAGTGCAGCACTTTTGCCCTGACATGGCTGTGTTTGCTAACAAAGATTCAACCTAGCAGATGCCAGGTAGGATGACTAATATACAAGATACCTGGGGAAAGTGGCCTCAAAAAAGCTGTTTAATCTTATTTGCAGGGGAAGTTCAGGTGCTCTAAACTTCCATATGAACTGACACATAGCCTGTGTCCCTCCCAAATGTTGAACCCCTAGCAAGTTCATATATATATACAACTTGCAAGGTCAGAGATGAATAAGACCTTCAGTTCCCAGAAGCTCCCCAGAAAAGAGGAGCAGCAATGGGGACAGCCAAAATAAGTTTCCTGCCAAGATGAGGCCATGACCTCAACCATGTTAGAAGCCGCAGGGCCTGCTCAGGAAAAACACCTCATACTGCTCAGTTTCAGCTGGATCCAAGGCCTTCAACCAAACAGTACAACTATCCCATGACAAAAACTAAGGAGAAACTAGGCGAACTCACTTGAAGTTCCCATACAAATACGTATTTGACTCTGACGCATACTTCCACTCAGTTTTCACTTCCCAGAAAGACATCATGAAACCTCCCCGTGGCCGTGGCAGTGGACCCCACTGAGGTGGTGAGCGTCTGAACGACGGTGATGTAAAAGGGCTGGAAGTTTCCCGATGAGTTTTCAGGGTAAAAAATGCAATACAGCCTTGCAGACCAACAGAATCAAATTTAGAGGTAGGGGATATGCAAAAATATACCAAAAATAGTATTTTCTGCTGAAAGTAGATAGAATAGTATTTTCTTCTGTATCATAAAATGATTTTTTTTTTTTTTTTCCCTGAAAATTGTTCAGAATTAAAAAATCAACCACAAGAAGGATTATATTGTGAACATTTCTTTCCTTTGTCCTTTAGACTTCTGTGAGAACAGAACAGACCAAGAGGTTACTCAGGATTGTCTGGCAGAGGAAGTGAGCAGTCAAGCTGAGGATAACAATAAGGTAGACACCAAGCTAAAGAAAAGTTTTAATATACCAAATTTTTGTGATATATATATATATATATGTTTTAAGCACCAAGGAAAAAGAGTTTTATAAGGTAAATATTTCACCTGTGGTAACTCAGAGAGGTTTGCATACTCTGAATACTGCAACTTCTGTCCTGAATGAATATTGTCATCAGGTGGAAAACTGCATTAGCAAGGGTTAGAGGAAATCCAGGACAGAGGTCTGTGTCCTTGAGGTGATCCCAGAGCGCCTGAGAATTTATTTGGGTTCACCAGACCTGACTGCTGTCCAATCTATTTCCTAGGAAAATGCTGGGCAGCTGCTCAGCAAAAACATATGAGAAACTCACCATAAAAAAACTGAAAGTGGGTATCATGTCCTGGTCATGGCATAGCTAAAGTCCCATAAGTTGAAAAACCTCTTCTTAGCAATACTGGAAACTAAATTTACTGCTTAATTGGTAGTACGGTGACATTTCTGAGTTCAGTCAGGTTGAGTAAAGTGGTTTCAAATCCTTCATTAATTCGTTCTTGCTGTCCCCATCCTCTCCGTGTACAGGCTCATTAGGATCACTCTTTCACAAAGAAGAGAACTTAGAGGGCGGAGTAAGAGAAATTAGTAGCCAGTTTTCCTTCTGAGCACAGACTGCAAAATATTAGCCTCCTTTTTCAACAAGAGACAAGAGGAAATACCAAGGAAAAGCAGTTAAAGGTCACAAAATGGCACATTTTTTGTGTAGTTTAGTAGAAATATGTGAAAACAACTGTAGAGAACGGATAAATCATGTTTTAACTTCGGACCGAGCTCAGAATTTTCAACAAGAAAATCTACCTTCCCTATTTATAGCTGATTTTGACACAACCGTACTGTATGCTACTGCCATTTATTAGCTGACAATGGTTTTGATTAATCAGTGTGAAAGTCATCCTCTTAATAGAGAAGTCACAATGAGACATAAGGCAAGATCATCCCTTGCGTTCCTTGTCCCTTTTTCCTCGGGATACTTCACCTCCTGTCCTATTAGAAATGTCAATGTTTATGTGCCCACATGCTGAGAGAATAAAACAGCAGCATGCCAGTGGAAAGTTTGTGTTCATGTAGACAGTATTACAGCGCTGATGGCCTCCACAGAAGATAAGGGCACATATTTTGACAAACAATTATTCATCTGCCATCAGAGCATGAAACAATAGAGAATTATTATATATTAGGTATGGCAAAGAAGCTTTTAGACTGTTTCCAGACAATGGCCTAATCACATGTGACTTCAGTTTATTCTCAAATATTACTGGCACAGTTTGTGTTAAACTATTATTAAACTCAAGTTTATTAAACAAAAGTTTCGTGTGCATGCAGTCCTGTGCCAGTAATACTTGGGGGAAAAATAGAGATGTGCTCGGCAAAGTGGTAGAAAAACCTCTGTTATTAATAAGCACATTAACTGTAAAGGCAATGCATTTGGAGCACACCTTTAACACACACAAATTTAGGTACTCTTCTTTTGCACTATGGATTTCCAATATTATTAAAAGATTTAATAAGCATAACCATATGCAGAAAGATATCACCTTGCTCTCCAATGTGAATATTTAAGGAATGTGAAGCCATGAGCAGGCTCATGAGCAAGTCTAACTCCCTCCATTGGAAGTGCTTGGTGAAGCCTCAAAAATCTGATTAGGAGAATGGGCCCAGAAAAGTGCTCGTATTTTAATCCAAAGCCAAATTTCATGTCAAATATTTTCACAGCTATGTGTTGCTTTACATTTCTGATGACACTACCCTCTTTTTTTTTTTTTTAATATAATGAAGAATGAATATTAAATTTGAACGCGCTGCTGGAAAATAGGCATGGACTCTCAGCTAAAATTCATGGTAAAAAAACCATCCTTCATTATGGTTATATATCTGTACCCCTTCAACCAGCATAAAGTATATAATCATCTGATGCTGACTGAATGCAAATTTCCACCGTTGATCACAGACCGCTGGTTGTTTGCGAATGACTTATTATCAAAGAGTTCCACAGACAAACTCAACAACCCTCAATATTGGGAAAAAAAACACCTCTCTCTTTTCACAAACATTTCACAGCAGGGAATATCAATCTTATCAAATGCGTTATCTCAAATAATTTGCTCGGATACATTGAGGTGTTTTCAGATTATGAAAACCGAGCAGTATGATTTCCATACCAGGTTTTCTGCCTCTGTACTCAAGATGAGTACAGAGGTCTCAACCAAAACAAGATGCATTAGCTGAGTGAGACCAACAGGCCGCCACCAGAAGAAGGCAACAAGAAGACCAGAAGACTCCAACAAGAAGGCACCAACCTTCTTACAGCAGGATTCTGACTTTGGTTCCTAGTAACTTCAGAAGACTCCACTTCATCATAGAAATGTCTGTATGTTTATTTTATACCATTTCTTACAGACTAGCTTTTCAACAAAGTATTGTCTGTGTATAGAATTGTATCCATTAAACTAGAGATTTATTGTATGCATCAAAGAAAAGTAAATAACTGTAAAGTGCATTAAATTTCTAAGTAATGATTGCATACACTAAACCCATGATGGCTGATATGGTTGTTTCATGTTTGCAGACCCAGACTGATGAATCCTGCTGTAATTCTGCCTTGTCCTGCACTCATGAAATGGGTTGGATGTCCTTGAGGGCCAAGCCACGTCCTTGGCAAGGTGGGAAGAGGGAACATTTTCCACCACAGTGGCAGAAGGGTTAAGATTTCCATGCCTGTGTACTATCAACAGTGTCATTAACTTGTTTTCATTTCTTTCTTGTTTTCATTCCCTTCTAATGCTGTTGTTCATTTTCAGATTCCATTTTTAATATTTTTAATTCAGTTTTAATATCCTCCACAGGAATTTAAAAACAATCTACTCTTTAAAACTTAATTGTAGTGTTTGTTATTCCATAAAAATACATTTAAAATTTTTGATCCAATTTTATGAAGTAATTGGATAATAAATGAATAACAAGGACAACAAGACCCTTATTAACTTTTTAGTCATTAAACTGACTTAACATTTTAGAAAGAACAATAACTTTTCCAATAACGTTCCCAAGCAGCGTTTATATTGCAATGCACTAAACCAAATGTATAAAAAGATGCTGCCTTTCTTGGATGGTGGAATGGAAATTTGTCATTATTTACATTTTCCCCAGGCAGAACCAAGTGCCTGCAGTTCTCTCCAAGAAGGGACAGTGCCCCTCCTGCTGCAAGCAACTCAACAACCCTTCAAGCATTAAGGAGAAGCCCCGCTTAGCAGAGATGCCAGCTGCTCTCCATGCTGAGCCTCTTGTTCCTGAGCAGGTAGATGGTGCAAGGCCCATCACTCTGTGTGCACTCAGCTCAGGGCACAGCTGGAAAATCCCACCTCCTGGCCATTTCCCTGTCCGGGCGAAGACGCCATAGAAGTTCTGGATATATTCCATCGCTGATTGGGAAGCACACCGTTGGGTAAAGGGCAGAGCAACCTGCTGTAGCTGTTGGTGTCTCTGTTCATCGCAGGGTGGTTGGACTAAATGACCTTTAAGGTCATCTTCCAGCTCAAACAGTTTCATGATTCTGTGATTCTGAGCCCTGCCTAGGAGCAGCTCACACACAGCACTCCATGCAGCTGGAGAAGTGCCCAGAGATGGGACTTAGGAACAGATGGGTGTGTGATTAAGTCCAGCCCTTACTATTGTCCCAAGTACCCCTTTGGCACCTCATGCTGCTTTACAACTTCCTCAAGCCTCTCAGTGCCTTGTCCCGACCACCTAATACTCCTTCCATACATTCCAAAATGCAGCTGAAATCTGGACAGCGAGAAACCTGAGCAGTGCTGTGGAGCCCCCAGTTATTTGCAACACCTCGCAATACAACCTAAGTGGGCGCTCCAGAAAGCGCTGATTTAACTTTCCTGTCTCCCAATCAGCTGGAAATCTATCAATGTAAAATATCTTCTGGCTGAGTAAGAGCTGTTTCCAGCTTTCTGAGTAGCCTAGGAGAACTGAGCCGTGGCCTGGCTTCTCATCCCAGCTCTCCTCACTCAAACTGCACATCCAGCTCAAGGAGGAGGCTTTAGATGTGTGCTAGCCCTTAATCGTGCCAGCAGTGTCTTTGCAGTCACGGAGGACTTTATGCTAAATGCTTCTCTCCCACAGTTCTAAAATAGTAACATAGCAAGCAACAAATGACTATGGGGCTTCTCAAGCAGCAGAGTGCACACTGGTCCTGTCTCAATAGAAAAAAAAAAAAAGAAGAAGAATTTTGCCAAAGGTTTGAATGGGAGAAAGAGCTTGTGGCTGACCACACAGCAAAGGGCTATATTTTTATTTATTTTTTTAATGTCAAGTAAATGCAATTTATAAGCCGTTGCCCACAGAGTTTTCTATTCAAAAGTAGGTGTAGTAGGTCGAAAATCAAGAGACCAAAAGGCACAGGTGACACAATCTGAGCACAGGACCATTGTGTTGGGCCCAGCCCCGCTGCCCCAGCCACAACACTGTGAGGAAGTGCCACACAAACAGAGGAAGCAGAATTCGGGCCGAGAAGGATTTAGTAACCGCATTACTACGCTCTCAGCACTGATGCCTGCAAAAGATAAAACCTGGGAAAAGACCTCGGGTTCCTACTCCTTATTGTTGCTACCGGGGATTTAGCTTGTATGTCTGAACTGTGTACATATTTCACTGGTCTAGGTGGGGCACCGCCAGCATATTTGTACGGGCTGGGACAGTGACAGGACTGCTGATGTTTACAGTAACAGGTTAGAGGGACTTTGCCAAAGCATTCTTAGTTTTTAAAATGATCGGGGCGACCTAGCCCCCTTCCCCCCCTCCATTGTTACTTCATCTGCGGGATTTACGGAAGAAGGAAATGGTAAATTACAAGAAAAAAAAATAGTATTTATCTTGCCAGGACATGTTGCTTTGAACTCGGATGATATTAACATATCAATCAGATTCAGTGATACGTTAAACAAGGTTGTCCCTGGTTTATGGTTCACTGAGTCTGGGAGCTGAACTATGGCTTTGTATTCCTCTGTCTGAATCCTTCCCCAGAGCACACCACATTGGTAGCCAGCACCAGGAGGGATTTGTTTTGTCTTGTTGACCCAAAATGAAGCCCATTTCCATTGAACTTCCAGTGAATATTTGCCCAGGTAGGTATGTTTCAAAACAGTAATAATGGCTGAAAATCCTTGGAGGAAGAAATCTAAGACTAAAGAACACAATCAGAGGCTACAAGCGCACTGTTTAGAGTAGTCTTGTGAGAGAAAATATTTCAGATGACATTTCCAGTTCCCAATCAAAGCTTGGCCAATTAGATGGAAAATTAATTTAGAAAGGAAGCATTAATTAGATTTTTATATACATGTTAACTCCAAAATTTCACGAGGCTTCAAATATTTGCCTGCTTCGCTCAGCCATTTCCTGATTATGGAATATCCATTATTTTACAGAAACTCTTCAGGCTGGGGACAGCTTAATTTCACTACATGGCTTCCTCTGGGGATGGCTAGGAACTTGTTTCTTGAGTGTTAAATGGCAGCACTGAGCTGGGTAGTGATTTGAACTGGTCTGCACTGGATTTACCATGCTAAGCAGCACACCGATCCACTGGCTACAAAGAATTAAAAAAAAAAGACGAGAGAAAGAGAGAGCAAATCAAGCAATTCCCACAGGTGGTAGCCTGGAAAAAAATCTTACCGTCTTCTTTCTTTTCTCTGCTAGGAAATGGCACAGACAACAAAATGAAGAAATACATCTAAAGAATCTTTAACTTCATTTGTTTCTGTTTGCAAAATGATACTCCTCCGTTTTATAAGCCAACAGTGAGAACAGATACTGCTAAATAAATTGCATAGTAACCAAATAAGTAATTTAATAAACAATAACAATGCTCACAAATAAAGTTAATCCTCAGAGCTTTAAACAAATATATAAATTGAACTCACAAGTGTGATCCTTTTCTGCGAGCTACAGTAAAATCTGAAGGGGGTCATAACCGTACCATTTACTCTAGACAAGTTGCACGTGCATTGCTGTTTGGAAAATGGAATCAGTTGTTGGAAAAGTACTTGTACTTACTGCACACAGAAACACTCTACAGTTCATCAGCAGACAGACCCCATCAGGCTCACTATCCACTTTTTATGCAATTAGGTTTTACACTGACAATGTATTACAAAATTATTAGAAAGGGAGCTGGAGTTAAAAATTAAGATGACGCAAGTTCAAAGCTTGGGATCACAGTTCAGCAAAAGCTCTCTGGAAGTGAAAAAAGAGGAAAACCCCAAACAATCTGATTTAAGAAAACAAGTTACTGCAGAAAATGAAGTCCAGTTTCCTGCAGCTTTCTACCTTGTAGTTGAACTATCCTAAACCTAATAAGATTTAAACTCTGATTGAAATTCTTTCTGTGGTTGAGGCCACTATCAGCTCTTATTCCCTCAGATGTAGATTTTCTGATGGCAGTAGTCATGTTTTGTTCCTAACAATTTTTTTCACTCAGCTGAAAAATAAAGCAGGCCTCTCCGCTCTTTTCAGATACTACTTTTCACCAAGCAAGGAATAAGGTAATGTGTTGGGATTTTTTCACTAAATAGATCGACATTAGTCTCAAAATTCAAAAGTTTTGGAGGAGTGAAAGCACCATAATAATACACACTTCTGAAGGAAAGCACATTAGAAGTCCAAGGATCTTGTGTGCATTTGCTCCTGTCTCTAAGTTTTCCCTCATCTGCAGATTTGTATATGAGATGCTACGTGTATCATCAAGGTGCATGTTCTTTTTATAAGAACAACTGTGGGGAATAGAAACCCAGCACAGTCATGCCAAAAGAGGAGCTCACAGTAGACAAGCTACTTTAAGCAGATATAGCTGAAGCAGAAAATAAGTGCTACAATAAACAGATTTCAATTGTAGCATCTTCAGGGAGTCTCTCATGTTTTATGTGAATTTTCTTTCTTTAAGAAAAGAGCAAGAGAAGTGACAATGTCTAAAAGGATACAGGAGGACGCATCTTCTGCTTCAGTTTTCCCTTATGTCTGTATTCTAGAAGACTGACATTCTAGAAGACTTCAGCATTTCTGTCTTAGAAAAAAAATGTCTCCTCGCTCAGCGTTTGCCTGAAATGCAGTTTCATCCACTACTGAAAGGAGACAAACAGCCATATTACTTTCAAAAAGTGCTTTATAAAACATCCACACAGCAGTGGTAAAGGCTGTACAGCCAAAATTTGCTGTTTGTGTTGAGTGTAAATGAGGCCTCTAAGAACTTCCAGGACAAGATAAGGCAATGCCAACTCCTATTTTCCTACACTGACAATAATTTAGTGTATGCTTTAAAAATTAAAGGTATCTAATGAATTCAAAAATGTATTTTATCTGGTGAGACAAACTTCTACAAGGGGGAAGGATTACCAGACTTGTAAGAATTCCTCTTTGCCACAGGAGATTCCACAACTAAATGAGATTAACAAATTTTGGCTATGTTCCTCAGGGAAAAAAAAAAAAGTACTAGAGTTCAAATATATTGCAACTACAGTTTACCTCAGTCAGTAACACCAATTATCTTCCATAACCTTTGCTTCATTTTTTTTTCATAGGGAGGCCACTTCTGGAACCTTTGGCTCATGGCATCTGGCTGAGAATTAGGAATATATTTGCAGGCTCTTAAGATGAAATTTCATCAGAACTAGGGATATTTTTGGAAACTTTAAGTCAGAATTAGCTTACCCGAGGATGCAGAGGTAGCTCAGAAGAAACAAAAAGCTCCAGTCATCAGCTCAACTCAGCACTTTTCCAGCTATCTTTCTTTAGGAAGAGGTTTCAAAAGAGTTAAGGAAAGTCTGCTCTTGGCAAATTTGAAGTCCAAGGTCTCAAAGACAGACTTTTTTCCTGACTAGGAGAAGCAGCTGAACTTAGATATCCCATCCTATCCTCTCTCCAGGGAGTCTCAGACAGCACTCAACTTTCTATGTAGAAGCGTCAAAAGATCCTTTCTGAGATAACCACAACTGGTGTCTGCAAAGAATGTAAAACAAAGAAGACCAAATGGAATCTATTAAGTATCACCTGCTTAATATCTAGTTGGCCCCACTGCCCCAGAAGGGTCCTGAAGAAAAATCAAAAGCAATTCATAATGTTACGTTGAGGTTTTGAAACCAGTCATCGGAAATGGACACCTCTGTTCTTCATGCGTTCTTCTGCAAAGAATGAGCCAGCCTCCACAGGACATACTACATCCCATCTGGCGGGAAGCCCCTGTCTCCTTCCCGCTGCTTGATCCATCTGGACTACACAGGCCTTGACAAGAATGAGTCAGCACAACATTTCCATGTAATTTAACCGAGATTTTAATTATCAGCCAAATCAAACAGCAGAGGGCTCAGGCAACATCCAATCTGCTCAGGAATTCACCACCTGCCTGGTTCAAAAAGTATAAGCAAAACCACATCGTTTTATATGTTTCAGAAGAGAAGAGAGATGAAAACCAGTAAGAATTTGATTGCTTTTGCTTGCAGCATGCATTAAAAATCTGTAGCAATATTTGAACAGAACTACTCTGGCAAACTGCAGCTTTTTGGTAGTTCAGACTGCAACTTTGGGTCCATCGCCCGCATTTTCCCAGAGATCAGTTGGATATAAGGTCAATTTGTTCTGAGAATAAAACCCATTCTGTATAGCTATGGACCCTGTGGACAAAAATCATGTAAATGTCATGGACACAGAGAAAAAGAGAAAAATTAATGTAACACAGACAACTTATTTCAAATATTTTGTAACTTCGTAGCGCTGGACTTGCATGAAAAATAATGTAGTTGTTAATTCCCTTAAAAAATATAAAAAAAAAAAAAAAAAAAAGATTGAGACAGAACTGTAAGGCTTTGTGGGTAGTCAACAAGTCCCAAAAACTTAGATTCACAGCACAGCCTACGATTGCCCTAATCTACTTTAGCATTTGGTGATACAGTGGAAGACTATTGTCTGCCCAGCCATGGAAGGGATATGAAAGAGATCTTCACTGAGTACATTTCAAAGTTATTTGTTAGACAGCAAATGAAAGATGAAAGTTGGAAAGCACAATTCCATCATAGAAGAAAAATGTATTTTCTTGCTGGAAACTCTGCTGGTCTTGTTCTCCCTGGCTTCTCTAGCCATCCCCACATCTGTTCCTACTTACTCTGCCCCCATTTTCTCACTGGGAAGCATCAGACAATCTTACTGCAGGCACAAGTAGCCGTTCCAAGTGTCTTCAAGGGAATGCATTCTTAGTCATGTTTGTGTTCTACTGGGTGTCCTTATGTTACAGGCGAGTCCAGGCCCACATGTGTCCCAGGCCTCCACTCAGCAAAATGCAGGAGACCTCTCTGTACAGAAGAGCCTAACTCTCACGTACACATTTAACTGTGAGAACTTGTTCCACTCAAGTTCCACTCAAGCTAGAGGAACTGCGGTGGTTGTCACTGTCTTGTCCTAATCCAGGCCTGAGACCTGCATGTAGCACTTGCCTTTGACATCAGTGGCCAAAAAAGGTGTATTAATTATAGAGCAAAGAGAAAAAGTATGGTGGCAAGACTTACTTCTCTCAATCTTTTTCAAGATTATTTAATTAGGAATTGTATTCCTCACTCTGTTAAGCTCTCAAAATTCAGTGTAAGAGATAGCCAAGCTGTCTCCAGAGACTCTTGCTGGGTCTTACGCATGCCCTGGCTCCATCTGTGCTAACAGTCCCCTTAGGCACTTCGGTTGGTCATGAAAACCTGTTCCTCTCCTTGCCCTTGGCCCTCTAGGTGGCTCAGGTGTCCTTTGCAGAGAAAACAGAACACAACCACTCCGAGGTGAAAAAAATGCCTGAAAATGCAACCAACGCCCATATTTGCTTATTGCTTGTGGGTAAATGATTGTGATCCATGGTAGGAGTAGAGAGCTGGCACGGGCAGGAGAACAACATCATAAGACCAATAGGTTGCTATGCAAAATAATGACTTAATAGGTAGTGCCTGTAAGCATTTGTTGTATTAATTAATTACAATTAGCCTGCTTCAACTATTAGGAAGGTTTTCACTCTGTTAGAAAAAGCAAGTATTTGGTGTGCAATAAAGCCACCAAATGTAGAAAATCATAGCGTAGAAAATCATAGATCTGAAAGAGAAGAGTGTTAGTGTTAGCTCTTCTTCTTTGGAAGAAAAAGAACTGGCAGGATGGGATGTTCCCACTCAGAGAACATGCGTGCTCAGGCAAGCTGAAGGACTGTGTAAAGCAGGCAGCTGGGGAGGGATGAGTAAGTCCCATCCATTCTGAGATAAAACGAAGCCGGTTTTGTTTTTTTGGTTTTTTTTTTTTTTTTTTTTTTTTTTTTTTTTTTTTTTTTTTTTTTTTAATTATTATTATTATTTTACATGGGATAGTCTAATGTGGAAACTGCCAGTCCTTCTGCTCTCACTACTACTTTGATGTTCATTTGCTTTAATTTTTTTCTCCTGTGATGAACAGCAGAGATTGCCAGGGAGTATTTGCAAGCTCAGCAGCAAAACAGAAAGAACTGGGGATTTGTTACTCAAAATGAATCCTTGATAAGTATCATCTACAATCATTCCCTAGCTTCACTGTCACAGGTTGAAGGGCAGCACAGAGAGCGCAATGGCTACAGCTATAACACATATAATACATACATATAATACATATATGCATACATGCTACATAAATATATATGCATGCTACATGTATTACAGCAAAATATCGCCACGCTGGAATCCTTCCCGCAGACTCAGTCCCCATCTCAGAGCGGGTCCCCCCCTGGCCTGAGGCAGGAGCCCGCAGGTTGCACTAGGTGGCACTGGAGGCACTGCGTTTTGGGGGGCACCGCGGTTACTCAATGCTTCCAGCGCCATCTGGTGGTGCTTTGTTTTCGAGACAGCATTTGCTCTTCCTCAAGAAGAGTGATCTAAGCAGGACAAACCAGAGGAACTGCGATGGGAGCTACAATGATCGAAAGACCCATATAGTACATCCATGTATTCTCCCACCTCACCAAAGGTCAGGATGGTATCTCATGTTGCATGAGCACACAGGCTGGCTAGCAAGGTTTTTCTTCCAAGCTGCAGACCTGCTCATTCCAGACCCCATTCTTAGCTTGTTTGACCTGAAATGTTCTTTAAACAAATAATCTCTGATTTTACTTCTATAGAGTATTCCTCCACAGAAAAGAGCATTGTCTGTGTATGTAAAACTATAGATGACTCCTTGCCATTTCCTGGACAGCTGCCATTCCCGGGCTGGAGACACTGTGAAACAGGTAAACACCGAGTTTTTCAAAAGCAGGCATCCACTTTACATTTGTAAGAATTTCATGCTGCAGGAAAGACTGAGGGATTCATCTCAGTCTTACTCATGTTGAGGCTGGCATCAAAAGTGTCAACCTAAAACAACTTTAACTTTTTAGGGGTTACTTTTGCTTCTGAGCATGTAAACTGATGCTGCAACAGGGTCAGGCCAGTAATGTGACAAGGGAGAGACCCTTTTGGCCCAGGACTGGTGCTGGGGCAGCCTCCAGCAAAACCACTCCCCCATCCCATCTATGGGCAGAGACTTCTGATCCGTGCTGAAAGGAGTGTGGTGGTCTCCACTGTCCTTCCTGGGATCACCACCAGTGGTTCACTGAAGTCAGAGTTTAGACGACCCTTGGGAAATCTGCCAACAATTCATTTGCACTATCACCATCAGGCATGCTACTGCTGGGGGCAAGGATGGAGGGCTTGCAGGTGAGCACCAGGACAGAACACAGGCAGCTGTGCAAGGTGCCAGACCAAGCAGAAGGGAGAAGAAAGCAGACCAAGCTCACAATAAAAAAAATCAGAAATAACTGCAAAACTGTTGATCTACCTAAAAACAAATCCTGTCGCACTCATAATGAACACAGAATTTGCATCAGAGATCCATACAGCTGTTTGGAAAGGGGAACGTTGCCCTCAGGGACAAATCCACTCCCTAACACCCAGCCTCAGCGTCTCCCTCATGCCTGGCCAAGATCCTCCCCCTCACGAGGAAGAATCCTCTCC